TCATCAACCCAGAAGTGGTAAATTTGTATATCAACATATTTACCACCATTTCAGGGTAGCCTGACAGCCAAGTTCGAGTCAGTTTTGACAACAACCTCCATTGTGATGAGCTCTCACTGTTCCACTGTATTTTCTAACACTCTTCTCTACTTCATCAGTCGGCTTTACTTCTGACACTATTCAGATGTTTTTCTGGGCCAGTTGGAAGCCTTACATGAGCAACATCATGACAACAATTCAGAATAATCATAATGATGTTTGAGATGTCTACAACCATTATTTAGACTCGTCTAAACTGAATTACAGATTGTCCTTCTGACTCATAGACTGTATAAAAGATGGACGTAGCTACCGTGATGTCACCCGTTGGTTTCTGCATTGAGAAAATGAAGCCAGGGTTTTGCTACTTCCTGGTTGACATCTTGGATTTTTGGAGCCAGTGACGCAAAAATCGTCGGAGGAGGGCGGAACCATAGGAGCAGCGATTGGTCAGACGGATTGAGAGGTGGGCCCCCTCTGCCCGCCCACATTCACCGCCTTCTGCTCGCTTCGTCTGCATCGTTGCTGTCGACTGTCAATCAAGTCAGCCACGCCCCTTGCCCAGCAATATTTTGACGATTTTTTTAAAATTCAGTATTGATTTATTTTCAGATTGGCCACCTGATCTCTGGATTTGACCATGAAAACTAGTAAGAAAAAAATCCTGAGCTGTAGGAATGCGGTATCTCGTGATCTGTGATCACTTCTTTTCCAATTCAAGTCTATGGGAGCCAGGGCTTCTTGGAGCCAGCAACGAACGGACGTAGTGATATTGCAGGTTTTTGACACTTCCGGGTTGGCTTCATTTTTCAGGGCCGGTTGCGACGTCCATCTTTTATACAGTCTATGTTCTGACTGCTCAGAATGATGTCATGTAAAAACTCTGACACATCACTGTGTAACTACATGTAGCCAAAATGATGTTTTTGACATCTGTGATTTTAATTCTGGATAGTCAAAATCCATTAAATGTTAAAACGCCTTACCATAGAAGTTATGAGTGTAAATTTTGACCTTTGACCACACCTGACAGTATTTGAATTGTCACCATCTAACACCAGAGTTCAACTGTCTAGTCAGAGGGTAGATGTTTTGGTTGCCTTCATCCCTGCTGCAGGTCCCTAAAGCTGTTGTACATTTTCAAGATGGTCAATGGCACAGGCTCTTCGGGGTCAGAGGTGGTTTTAAATTTAATTTATGATGCTCTAATAAATATTGTAATAAAGATAAGCATTCAATGTGCTGTGTGTATACACAGCAGTTACTATTCTAAGATAATACAGGTGTCTAAATGCATATCTTTGATTTTAGGAATGCGGCTAACAACTACTCTCTGAAAGGAACTTCTTCAGTGTTAGCAGCTGTATTAATATGAATTAATATAGTGACTTAAGGTAAGTATCTTTTTGATAAATAAGGGCTTTTTACATCAGGAAACCTGTTGAAATACCATAATTTGTACAGTATCATCAAATATAGCTTAGCCAAGCAGATTCTCCATCGTTCACTTTAAAAATGTACGACTTCCTTCAGGACCTGGAGCAGAGACGAAAGTAATACAACTATCTGCTTGACTCTGCTTTTTACAGTGACAGTCCAACGACGTTCACGTATATGTGATTCTATAGTTTTAGAGCTTAAAATGTCCTACGATGAAGTATACTAGTATATGCTTTTATTCATCTTACATTTCATCTGTGGTTTATGTTGTTGGTTATTATGTCACTGGTTATTTTTCTTCTCATTTGTGTGTAACAAAGTGAATATTTATTCTTAAATTACGCCTTCTCACTGCCCAAGAGTGTGGAGGATATCAATGGAGAAAAATGAAAGAGGAGAGACACCACCTGAAAGGAAGCTAGAGACAGTGAGGGTGTCAATAAATACATTAAAAGTAATAAATAAGCTGTAATGATTCCTAATTACAAAACATCTGATCATTAACAGGCATGGATTTATTTACTGATTGATTGATTGATTGATTGATTGATTGATTGATTGATTGATTGATTGATTGATATTTACAGAACTTTGTGCCTAAACATATAAAAGCTTAAGCATTAAAATAATTCACTACATGTTGACAATTAGGTAGCAAACCTATTTAAATGTGATGTTAAGTCTGTTGTTTTAGGAAAGCCTTTGCACATAATTGAGATTAAATTAATCTTTCTGTTCACTATCCTTACGCTGTCCTGCACTCATTAATTTCTAAAATAATTAACTCACATGATAATATAATGTATTTAAATTCAAACCAACATAATTGCACCCTTATTGCATATAAAAAGGCAGACATTTCTAGTTAGTTCACAATCTCATTGAGCCTAATTTGAGTTATACAGCTTAGCGGTAATTACATCCCCTTGACCAAACCCTAGTCATTTACTGGTCCTACCTATTCTGGAGCAGTGCGCATTGACACAACAGAGTAGGAACAACCCTGTCCCATAGCAATTACACTTGTATATTTACAAATATAGAAATTACATTTAGATGCCACCCAATTACTATAATTATGCTCAGACACACTGTTTTATTTTGAATGAATGAAGCGCCACAGTTGCATCTGGTGTGAGATGACCAAAGCACTTAAAGTTAGAATAAGAAGGAGTTGTGTCTGTATATCTTTCTCCACAGTTAACCGAGACTTACCAGAGTCTCAACAGAAGCAGAAAAAGGCTAATCAATCCTATAGTCAGGACAAGTGGATACTGTCCTCCAAGAGTGGCTATATTTTGGTGGAAAGTCATATGTTGCCAGTTGATATTTTACTGATATCTTAAGTGTCAGTCTCAGTGTAAACATAACTTCTCAAATATGGTAAATACCTACTTGCTGTTGCAAATTACTTGTAAACTGGGCTTAACGTGAAGCTATTTATTTGCTGTTTTAGCTGCTCACCATCTTACTTCTACAAAAAGGAAAATGTAGACCTATTAAAACATAAACAAAATCAACAAGGGTTTGGACAATGATCGTAATGTACAACAGACAAAACATATAATTATCAAATAATTACTGAAACAATTACAACTTAAACATTGTCTCAAGCAAGAAAGTCATGCCAACCATTTAACGCCATACACCATTACACACACATACGCACATGACCAAGTTCAGTCAGTAAAAGCTCCACACCTGAAAAGCCCAAAGGGGGACTTTAGAGTTTCTTGTCTGTGTGTCCGTCACCAGGACAGACAGAGATTTGTGTTGTTCTCTAATAACAAAGCCTGGTACAAGGACAGAGTCCTCCAGAGTGGAAAGAGCTAAGAAGCAAAATTTTTGACAAGTTGCTCCAACCCCTGCCTAAAGGCCCGGGCGTTGAACCCTGGCCAATGCTGTCTTTTGCAGGTGGTCTACTAAAAACACTGTTACAGATGGAGAGGAATTCTTATCTTGTTTGAGTTTAATGAAATGAATAAACATGCTTGGTAGAAAGCATGTTTGGAATATTACAACTTTTAAGATGGCAGATGACAATTTTTGCACCATAGTTGAAATATTAGAAAAACTAAGATTAAACCCTATTCCTGCAGCTAGTGGTTGTAAAATTCAAACAACCTCATACTACCGCTAATGCTACCATAAGGTTACGTCAACAATCATCTTTAAACTGACAATAATAATTTAATTGGAACTGAATTAGATTTCAACCTTTAAGTCAGCTTTCTTCAGAAAATTCCAGCAGGTGAAACAAAGCATTGCGTCCTTCTTCTAGTCATAGTGGACCAAAGACCCAACTTTTTGTACCAATTCTAGGAACTTCCTTTGCTATTTTGCTTGGTTGCCCTGTGGTGCTGGTTCTTCATTGATTGTTTGTTTCTGTTTATTTTTTTATTGGCTTTTTTTTTCTCCAAGCACTTGGCCAGTTTTCAGTGGTTAAAGGAACATTTTAAACCAAAAACAAGACAGTTCCTCACTCATGCCTTTGTTCAGTCTGTTTGAAGTCAGAGCTGTGACACAGTCAGACACAGCATCTGACTGGCCAACAGACTCATCCCAAGGCTTCATGGACGGCTAGTGGTAGACTAACAACCAAACTGTTTTCAACACAGAAAATGTATCTCATTAAATTTTAAGATTCCTGATAAACCAACTGCATCAGGCCATCCAAGCAAGCACAGGGTGTACCTACTCCAGGCAAGCAGGCAAGCAATAATTCAAGGCTGTTGCATAGAAAATAATTTGTAGATAACAGGGTTGGTCAGACTAAAATTGATGCAAAAGACCATGAAGTATTTTGTTTATTCTATGAATTCCGTGTCCTTGTCATAACCTTGCATCTACGTCTGCCAAAATGCAACTTGACTGGCAACAATTTATTCGCAGATTGGGGTGTGTTATGCTAGTACCTGTTAATAGGGCCTGCAGCAGAGATGAATGTCTACAGAGGTCTGACAACACCAAAGGTCACCAAAGGCTTTCTACTATTGTTGTAACATATGCCATTATACCAGAGGACTACATTGGGATGCAACACAAATCTCAGATAGTTTTAGCTTTGCTGCAGGCAAAAGAAGATCTTAAAAAATAAACTGCAAGTTCCAGCATTTTGCGTTAAGCAGAAGCATCGAGTGAATAAGCAAAGCTGAAAAGGAGATTAAAGCACATTTTTACGACGTAAAATCAAGGCAAGTCACTTTTGCACAAATTTCTCAGTTGTTGCTGACAAAGATGGACAACAATTGGACTTTGACACACACTGTGGGAGCAGGCAGTTATGTCAAATGATATTTCACTGAGAATGTTACAGGGCAATACAGGATCAGCAAGACATCCAACAGTCAGATCAGGATGAATGAAAGTAGTAACTTTTATTTGACAGTATTTTATTCATGTACAATTGATGTGGCAGTGTTTGGAAATGAAGATGGTTTCGACACGTGAATTTTTTTTTTTTTTTAGATGAAGGTTGGAGAAACACACTTCACATCTTGCACACTGACGCATACCAATACCTGGGCAGTGCCTGGGCATGCCTCAGCTGCCTGTGTTTACAAGTGAAGAAAGCCTGAAAAGAAAGAAAGGAAAGAAGAAACAGTGACAGAAAGACAGGACACTGACAGAAAAAGACTGAGCAGTAAAGAAAGGCTTGTGTTTAAGACCGCGACAAACTTCTCCACCAAAATATCTCCCTCTGACACTGATCACTGCCTTGTCACACATACTTAGACACAGACAAACTCATTTGTGCGGAAACTACAGAGCACACAGACTGGATGAGAGGACTGGAGTCTGCTCTAACAGGCATGTGGGTCTGGACATACAGTATGCCTCCACTTAACAGTCAAACAAAAGTCTGCCCTGAAACTCACCACTGCTAACACTGGTACATGACTCAAACAGCTGAACAAACACAACACATACACGTACATACCAAAACTGACAACACACACTGTGACTGCCTGAAACAGCAGCAACAAGGAAATGAAGGCAACACCTTTCCTAGTGCCTCTATCACAGGTTACATATGGTTAAATCTGGCAGGCAGAGGCTTTGATATGTACATTACCATGCTGTTGACAGTATCTGCTGAACATTGGAGCCCCTGCTTTCATAATCCAGGCACAGAGTAATCCTGAACGCAGCAGGCTGCTGGGAAACTCACTGACAGAGAGCCAACAAATCTTCCCAGCGCTGTTATCACACTCCCTGTTTTTCTCCTCCCTTCTTCTTACAACTCCCTCCCCCTCTCTCTCACTCTCTCTGTGAGGCTTTCCACACAGTCAGACAGTCTGTCTTCCTGGAATACCAACACTGTGCATCAGTGACCAGTGGCTCCCTCTGGGTCATCACAGTTTCATTTTCAGATATTTATTTATTTTTAGCTAAATAGTTGTAGTAACTGATGGTGAGTGCTTCCTTTTTGCTTTTTCTTGTCATTGTTGTTGTTTTCTAAGTTACTCTGGAATGCACGACAACCATCACAGTTTCTTGATTACAAGATCATCTTCCCAGAAGCACTCTATTCAAATTATTATCTCTGTGATAAACTCTAGACACTTGCATTACATTTCCGGAAGCTGCTTTTCAGTGTACATGTCTAATCAGTGCTGCACCCCACCCTGCCTCACAAGAAATCCTTTACTTCCTCTAAATGCCTGCATGCCTTTTTTCCCCCCTAAAGCACCATTCCTCTGCACTGTCCACAGCCAGGCCATATAAGACTAGGATTGTGATAAAAGGGCAAGGAGGGGGACGAGGGGCAGCTGACAGGAAGTTTATTGGAAGTTTATTACAAATGACGGTAGAAACCCGACAGTATTGGAAGCTGCAGATTGTAATTTTTATTTTAGCGTATCCAGGCTGTGAGTACAGTTCTGCAGTGCAGGCTAACTCTGCTGAACCTGAAAGTATTTTTAATATGGCTGCCATTAATGTTATTATTAACAACCGCTGGCAGAGTTGCTACCAGCAGTATGTTTCACTGTGATTTCTAAAAATCATTAAATGCTCACACCGAAATCGCTTACAGTCCATCATCAGAAATGTTAAGCAACACAGTCACACCAGCAGCTGATTACTGAGCAGGTCCTCGTAGAAACACGGATTCACCGGCTGTTTGGTGTTGGGAAGTCACATACAATGGACAAACTGAATCTATCCAAAGAAATCATTTCTCCAAAAAAAAGTTCAAGATCATCCTATGTGTTGCTTGCATGGGTCTGTTTAAAAACAGGTCTTAGTTCACAACAAATAATTGTGTTAATGGTCAGTGAGTCACAACATGAAGCAAGATGTCCAACGATCCTATTAAAGTGAACAAACTGATAAATTATATGTTTGTTCTAGAACTACAACAGCTATTTAAAGGATTATTTGATTATCTAAAAGAAAGAATATGAAGTGCTAACAAGCATTAAAAAAAGAAAGAAGTTACTTTTCAAGCAAAAACGCTACATAATTGATTGTTTCAGCAAAATTGTTCGATTTTCTTGCTTTTACATGATATTCAATTGAATGCAGAAGGATTTTTAGGCTGTTGGTCAGAGTAAAAAGGTATTTGATGACTTCATCTTGGGCAATGCAACAGTGTTTTAAAAAAAAAAAATGTTTGTGATATTTATGGACAGTGTATATCGGCAGATCAATGAATAGTGAACATATTGGCTAGCTGCAGTCCTTCTCAGACCTGTCTCTGCTGGTGTATGAACAGCGACAGATGAGTGGCATGACTTAGATAGAACAATAAGCACGCAGCAATTCTAATTACAAAAAAATTGTTCATCTAACTGGCACATTTAAATCAGTTAAATCCAATTTATATCACTAAACAAATCCAGCAAATATCTACAACAAAACAAACAAAAAAAACTGCAATATTTATTAAAGGAAAATGAGTCTTCCCTCATATGTCCCACTTCCTCCTCTACATAATTGCCTGTCCGTACAGCATTTGTAGCATTTGCCATGTTTACCACAGGATATTGTTGCTTCACGCCATCCACATTTTTGTTTTCCAAAAGATTAAAACAATAAATAAATTATAAAATGTTAGTTGACAGAAGACGACAGTTTTAGATTATTCATGTTGATCGAATATTAAATTAAGCAACCAACGGACTGTGAGCACAGCTTTGTAATAAATCAATGCCATGCACTGAAATGAAATACCGGAGACACACTCCTGCGGTTCCTCAGAAGGAGAGAGGAGGAGAAGTCTTATTACATGCCATTACTGAATTCAGAAGAACTGCCTCCAGCCGTCACCTCACCCACTTCTCTTTATCTTTGCCTCCTCAACTGTTGAAGTCATGTAAATATTGTGGTAACACGTCTGATCCCAGCTCTGCCCCAAGGGGCATTGCTCATCTCTTGCACACATGACAGGAATGCACATGCAAAATGGCAAACCACTGACATGTACACACTAATAAGTGAAAAAATACAATCAACGACTTGTTTCTTAGCCTCTGAGTCTTTTTGATAGCTGTGTTTTCATGTTGTATGGGAAAGACAGAGAACTGAAAAAAGCTGCCACCAAATACTGTACACTGCACTGTTCAAATGTGAATACTCCGAGACTGGAAGACGATGGGAGAGGGGGATTTTTGATTGGTTGTTTCAGATTTTCTATTGGCTATTTGCTCACTCTAAGCATTTGAATTGCCCATCTTTAAAATGGTCTGCCAAACACACTCATGATTGGCTGCTGTCAATCTATTGTCAGGAAAATGAAGAGTGGACTTTATTTGTAACACAGTGAATATGTATGTTTGCGGGGTCCTTCATGATGAAGCCAAAGTTAAGGGTCATCTGTCATTTTGTAATGTCAAAAGTCACTCCAAGATTTAAGAATGACCCACTTTAGTGAGCTTCAGCTGCACAGCTCTGGTCCAGTGGGTCAGTGGGGGAGTGTGCTGCTGTCACCTGAAGGTCACTGCTCTAAGTGGAACTTTCTTGGTTAAGCAAAGAATAAAATAAATATTTAAACTAAGCGTTAACAAGCTCAGGCTGCAGGGTGGCTCAGTGGTTAGCACCGCCACCTCGCAGCTATAAGATCCCCGGTTTGCGTCCCAGAAAGGACGCCCGGGATCTTTCTGCGTGGAGTTTGCATGTTCCACCAATGCAGCATTGGTTCTCTCTGAGTTCTCCAGCTTCCTCCCACAGTCTAAAAACATGATTCTAAATTGTCCCCAAATGTGAATGTGAGTGTGCTTGGTTGTCTGTCTCTAAGTGTAGCCCTGTGATAGACTGGTGACCTGTCCAGGGAGTCCCCTGCCTTCGCCCTGAGTCAGCTGGGATAGACTCGAACCCCCCGCAACCTTACAGAGGATTAAATAGTGTATAGATAATAGATGGATTAAGAAGCTAAGAATATCTCTATCAAACCATGGTAAATGGTAAATGGTCCATACTAATATAGCGCTTTTCTACCTTAGTGGTACTCAAAGAGCTTTTCAATGTGCTTCTCATTCACCCATTCACACACATTCATACACCAGAGGCAACAGAGCTGCCATGCAAGGTGCTAGCCAGCCATTGGGAGCAACTTTGGGTTCAGTGTCTTGCCCAAGGACACTTCGACTGTGGAGGGGCAGGGGATCAAATCACTAACCTTGCGATTGGAGGACAGCCATTCTACCACCTGAGCCACAGTCGCCCATGGGCACAACAATTCAGAGAAATTATTTTCATAGGGCTATGCATATTCTGATGTCTTTCTGTAGAGCATTAAGACTTTCCATCCTTAATCCCTCAGACCACAAGCAGTACAAGCACATATAACGGGTTTGATTTGTATATAATGATGTTTAGTTGCACACATTATACATGCTGACCAATACAGCCTACATAGACTCTGACAACAACACATGTCACCTCTTATAATCTTAGTGACCAAACATTCTTGCAGAGTGACTCATAGTGTGGAGCAAGAAGCAGAATGACCACTGTTGCTGGTCAGGACTCAGTTGGCTGAACCAGGGACACAAACAAAACTGTGGTACATTTTACCAATTCCTCTGAATACACAGAAATAAGAACAATAACTGAAGAATGGTTGCATTACAGTATTGAATTTATTAAAGAGGAGCCGCACAGTGATCAAACATCTGGCAGCGTAAAGAATGGAACTGTTTTCTTCTTTAATTCAGCAGTGGTCGGTTATGCTACATTTTATCCCTCTGCGTTTAATATATGACAACTGGGTACTGGTTGTTTTGCAGATTCAGATTTTACACACAAAACATCAATTTATGAGTTATGATCATTTATAGGCCACCCAACATTACATTAAGTAGTTCAAATGAGGCTCCACCTCTACTAGCTATAACATTAAAGTGTTGCTAACACATTAGTGTGTAATATTGATCCTGTATTACAACATAGAGTATAACATTGTAACAGGGACTGCATTCACACTTTTTCTGACTCCTCCTTCCATTCCAACCATTTTCAGATTTGTGGAGAGCACACGTATAGCAATATGTAGAAACACAACTATACATGAGCTGGATTTAGCCAAAGAGCAGGTTTATCTTTTGTCCTTGGCCAGATGTTTCACAAGCTGAGACACTGACACAATTTGCATGCAGCTTAGAAAATGGAATAAAAATAACACAAATCACACCAAATTACTGGTGGAACAAACCAGAGAATGAACATATCATTATAGCATAGGAGAAGCCAAGTGTACAGACCGATTTAAACTGGCAAGGTGACAACAAAAAAGAGCAATAATCCCAATCTTTACACAGAACATAAATTAACAGAATATGGCTACAAAGAATCAAGGCACAGTTCACAGTGAGACAACACGTCTCTCTCTCTGACTAAAGATTTGAATATAAAAAGTATGAATTTGAAATCCAATCTCCTAATTTTAATGTTGACGTCTTGTCCTACCTCAGAGCTCTACATGTGGTCCTGTGTGGTTTGGTTAAAGTCCTGCTGCTCCCATGCGGGCTAACTGTCAGCCTGAGCGGCTCTTTTTCTTTGCTGCTCAGCGTCTGTGAGCCCACCTGTCGCTTCCTCATCAACACGGTGTCAGAAAAAAACTGAGTCACGGCTCAGCTCAGCTCTCCCCTGTCTCCACTGTTGTGTACACTATTGTTTACAAGGTCCTTTCGTGTCTGTCGAGCTCTATTTGTGCATTATTGTGTAGATTAGACAACATGTGTGTGCCCCTGTGTCTGTGTGTGTGTTGGTATGTGGCTGGTTTAAATGTGTATTAATAGCTCACTGGGGAGGGACAGAGGCTTGCAGAGCAGCTGACTCAACACATTCTAGTCTGGGTGAGTACTCATCACACAGAGCAGTGTTGCTGTGCTCTTGAAAACACTGTAGAAGTATGTCGAGGCAACAGCCTAAACCGTTCAACAGACCTTAGCAGTGCTGTGAACGTAACAGTCAAGCCATCTAGACCTTACAAATGTCAGAGAAGTTCAGATTCAATGAGAGTCAAGTTATTGCCTCTACAGACACCACCAAAAGTGAATTATTCTGGGAGAAATCCCAGACTTTTGAGCATTCAGTAATTGCTCTTGGTTAACACTGTCAGTGGACTGGTCAGGTGGTTTCTTAGTATCAAAAACCATATTCATATGGTGGCGTATGGACTCAATTCAAATTGGTTAAAAAAATTCACATTAGTCATTAGTTTTCAGGATAAACACTAAAAGGAAGACTAGCGTTATCATATCTCCCTGGATAAAACAAAGTGTCATAAACAATAAAGCGATAAATGTTGAGAGACATTTTGCTTTTTCTTTGTAAAAGCTGCATGAACAAAATTCCACAACAAGACAAAAACCCAGCCCTGAAATACTTTAGGTTTATAAAGACACTGGGTATAGGAGCCTGAGCGACACAGGATTTTGAGGGCTGAT